GGCTTTCCGGGATGGAAATCTGACTGGAGAAACTGCGGAGTTCCGCCAGTGCGTCAATCGAGCGCCCGGAGCTAGCGTTTCCATCGCCAATGCCCTGTCCATCCCGAGATTTCCTTACCAGCGCTTCAAGATTTCCAGCTGCCTGGGAATTCTTGGGCGATTGGACGATCAGATTAGCCAGGAGGACGCCATCGCTTGATCGTTGAATGGAGGCCCCGAAAACCCTAGCCTTAGAAAACCACTGGCTTAACTAAAGCATACATTTGCCACCATTCGTTTAGTCGGCATTTACAATGTTAGCAGAATATACCGACTTTTGAACGTTATTGACGGCACCGTCTATTTTGATTTCAAGGTTTAGGGTTCTTCGCAGAGAGTTGCGGCGTAGCGATGGTCGCGAAGAACAAGAGCAAGCCCTTGGCGGCAGGCGGCGAGCTGGAAATCCAATCCGGCGGTCTTCCACGGCGCCTGGCATCGGTCGACAAGAAGGTACGCGATCGCGCAGTGGAGCTCCTGGCGAGCTGGTTGGAATGCCGGACTTCCGTGGACGAAGCCGACCTGAGGAAGATCTGGAAGGGGCTTTTCTACTGCTACTGGCACGCAGACAAGGCGATTGTCCAGGCAGATCTTGCGGAGCGCCTCGCATCGCTTGTACAGCGCCTTCCGAGCGAATTAGCTCTCCAGTTCTTTGAGGGGTATTTGGGCACAATGCGGAGAGAATGGGGCGGGATAGACCATTTGAGGATGGACAAGTTCTATCTTCTCCAGCGGAAGTTCGTGAGTTCTATGTTCATGGCACTCAGGCAGCAGAGATGGGACAAGGAGATTGTCCAGCGCTACATGGACGCTTTGAAAAATCGGGCTTTTCTCTCCAACGATCTCTTCCCGGCCCAGGGGTGTAGTATGCATCTGGCGGACATTTTCTTGGAGCAACTTGATGGTGTTCTTCCGGAGGAGAAAGAAGTTCTCGGCATTCTTCTGGAGCCTTTCTATGCAACTCTTGCGCTTGGTCCGGACAAGAATGTGCTGAAGCGCGTCAAAGAAAGAGTTTTTGATCGTCTTTTGGAGGCTGCGAGGGAGAGTGTCGACGCTGAAGGGTCAGAGAACAAGTTGGCCGAGTTCGTGACCGGTCTACCAATGGAAAAGAGGCTTTTCGAGCTCGCAGCTTCAGCGGACACTGTACAGAGAATCGCAAGGTGCTGTACGCTCTCTCCGAGGACTTTAAGAAGATCAAAAGGAG